GATTGTCTCATAAAAACTCACAGAAGCTGGGAACTGTTATTTGTTTTGAAGCTGGAAAAGGCTGTCTGGAGATGAACTGTGTGTGTGTGTGAGCTGAATATGTGTGTGAGCTGAATGTGTGTGTGTGTGTGTGCGTACGCGCATGAGAGCTGAATGTGTGTGTGAGAATGTAGGACATAAAACCCAGGAGGGAAAGACTTGTCGTCCAGACAGAATAAATGACATCAGCTTTTGGCTTCCGGTGAGTTGGCAGTCTGTGTCCGTACCCCCATCCCTCCCTCCCTTCCATTCACCCAGCATCGCTCAGGAGTAGCCAATTACATCTGGGGGTGTCACCATAGCAACGCATGGCAGCAATACGAGGAGACATGAGTCATCACTATTCTTAAAAGCCATTCAGAGAAGAGTGGAGAGGGAGACAAGGAGAGAGGTAAACAGGATGAGGTTAGAAGGCAAGAGAGGAAAGGAAAAAGAAGGTAGAGAGAGGGAAAATAAGATAATAAAGCATAAAAAATGAAACAGGTGGTCGGTGAGAGAAAGCGTGAGGATAGAAAGAGGAGACAAGAAGGAGAGGAGAAAACCAGGAGAGGAAAGGCATAAGAAAAGGGAAGAAAGAAGAGATGAGAGGAAACAAGGAGAGGAAGCAAGCAGGAGACAGGAGGCATAGGAGGAAACGAGTGGGTAAAATGATTAATATGATTAATATGCGACCTCTATTTTATAAGACACTATGGTAGCTAATAACATTTAAAATGTGGTGTTTACTGACCGTATCAGGAGAGGTCCAGAAGGCTAATATTACAAATAATATTCACATATCAATTTGACGAAAAAAAAAAAAAAAACGCTTTGGAAACTCCAAAATGTGTCCCGTTTGAGCTCAAGTTGTCAGTTTTACAGAGAACTTCAAGATGTCATTAAAACTAGAAAAAAAATATCTTGTGGCCACAGAAACTCAAAACATTTGTAGATTCTGGGCCAGCATGGTAAAGGTGACGTCGAAGTGCTTTAAACCTGCATTCTTTCTATTGTCCAGCAGGGGGCGACCTCTCTGGTTTCAAAAAGCTGCCTGCTTGTACAGTTTTACAGGGAAATAATTCTTCACCCATGTTTGAGTTCTCAGACATGATGCTTTTCACAATTAGTAGCTGACATGCAGTCACTGGCCACTTTATTAGGTACACTTGTTCAAATGCTTAACTGTTAATGCAAATATCTAATCACCTGATCACATGGCATCAACTCAATCCACTTAGCATGCAGCCATGGTCAACACAAGCTCAATAAAACATCACTCTCACACCATCTATTGCAGCAGGTGTGACAACATGATTTGTTGTGCTTGATAACACACTAAACAACACTTTCAGTCTTTATTTTCTCTTTTTATTATTGCCCCTCTCCTTTCCCCGATGTCACAGCCTGACCTGAACCACAGAAGACAGGGCATCACAGACATCTTACACCTTTAAACCTCGTTAAAGAGAGCGCGCACACACACGCACCTCTCTTTGGCTGACATTAAATAACCACATAAATACACAACTACACCAACATCAACTCACAATTACGATAAAAACAGGTTATAAGCCTTCAAATCAAAAATCTAGAACTCTTATACAAGATGGCTAAAATTCAGAAATTCATTCAACAGCAGACGTTTCAAGTTTCGAAGGTCAGTTTGTTTTTCAATTGAACTGCTTTGTAATGAAAAGAGGGACTTTCCCCCCTCTGCTGTTTATACTTTGTTAAAGCTGACAATGCCGACTGAACACAATGCCCACAATTACATTCAGCTTTTCATTTTGTTTACAGGCTTTTGTCAAAGTATATACATATATTTTGGAATTTCAATTAACTGTAATTATTTTCTGAATTGAAAGTGAACTGACCGTCCAACAGTTCAGTCACAAACTGATGAACCAGTTGCAACCTTTGGATTATACTGCTTTACCTGAGCATGATTAATGAGATGAGAAACAGTCATTTGACATTAAAAACACATCTCAATATATGGTGACAGATTGCAGACACAGCTATACTACTCACTTAATCAAGTGGCTTATCCCTGTAACTCTAAAACATCTCAGTAAAAGAATACAGCAGATTCCTAACATTTGGATTTAATATCACATTATTATCTGAAGGCACATTTACAGATGCGTCTTTGTTCCTACTTAACAGCTGAAGAACACAGAGCTAAACAGCTTGATCAGGCTGGCACGAGTGAAAAATTATAAAATATACTACTCTTTTTTGTTTAATGCATGACGTAAAACAAATCATGTGAGCAATAATTTATCAGGCACACTGCAAACTTGCATCTCTGCAGATGCTTTGTATGTTACATTAGAGAGTATTTGGGCTGTGGTTGCTTTGGTTACAGTGTTACAAGCTTTACATGATGGTTTTCAGTCTGCGGGAGAACTGATTTTGTAATCCAGACGTTTGATGTGTGAAACGGATATAGGAACATTTTGACATTTTTGGTTAAATTACCCTTCCTTCTTTTCTTGCAACAGGATAGACTTCAGTCACAAACAGGCTTAGAGAAGGGTCGGCAACAACTAGGGAAAAATATGTATCCAAAATCCAGTTGGCGATTGGTTGGTGGCTGTTGCAGATCCCATCTGTTGTCTGCACATCTGGCAACAAACAGTCACCAAGCAGCAGTGAAACTGTGAAAAGTGCGAAGCAAACCAGACTTGAGTGATCACAAGATTTTCACACCTCTTAGATTCAAACTTGTCTGACATTTTTAGTAGATGAACCTCTGGTTTCAGTTTGTGCATCCTGTTTGTCTGGTTTATTGACGGAGGTGTTTACAGACAGACTGGCATCTTCCATGCAAACTACACGTGACTGCGACAACATCAGCAGGTTGCTAACTGGTCTCCAAGTCTGTATGACTGAAGCCTTAAATAACATGATTAACTCTCAAATCCAGCAGGTAGTTCAGCCTTTTTAAGGAATGGAAACAGCTAACAGTGGCCTTGTCTAAGGTACAACTGCTTGAAAAACTAACACTTAATGTTCAATTTACTTATTATTAAAAAAAAGAAAAAAAGATAAAACATAGAATTCATAAAAAGAAAAGACTACTACTGTTCTGCCATCTTTAAAACAGGCTGTTTCCCCATTCCCAGTGTATTTGCCAAGCTGAGCTAGCAGCTAGATATGAGAGCAGTATTGATAATCTAATTCTTGGTTAGAAAGCAGGCGTGCTGACATCTTTGGATGAAATCCACCACAGACTTAAAGCCCGTGACGCATTTGAACCGGAAATGTCGGCAGTTCAGGTGAGAAAAACAGACTGCTGATGTGTGAGGGAAAAAAACATCTCCAGAGCAAATAGCAAGAACTGCTCTGATCCAAATTAAACTAAAGGCACAAATGGTCTGAATGTTGGCACAATGGACGGTTCAGGAAAGTGTGAGCGATCTGAGGAGGTGGATTGAGGCGATGAGAGGTCCCACGTATTTTTCTTTATTTCCTCTTTATGGAGAAGAGCAGGCGTGGTGAGGATAGTGCAGTCAGTGGTGATGCAGTGGGGGTGCAGCAGGAGAATCACTGTGCACAGTTTGTTTGATCATATCGCGTCTGACATCGTGAATATGAGCAGAAGGCTGAATAACAGCGCAGGAAGTGAAGTCGTTACACCGTGGCCTCCGATTCCCAGAGGTCCTCGTGGTTCTCCAAACAGACGGCCTACTCACTGAAGCTGAAGTTCAGACCAGAAGACTCTGTAATCGGGGATGAGGGGCCCGCACTGGATACAGCACTGGAGGGGATGCTGCCATCTGAACAGAAAACACACACACAAGCTCTCTGTAAACACTTGTTTTCCCCCACTGGTACAAACTGTCGATGTTTTAAAAGGTCCATCCATGACGCAACTAATAATCCCATTACTTTCCACCCCGGAGCCCTCGCTTCACTCTGCGAGTCAGGAGCCATGTTATTTGCTGTTGTACGTGCGTCACGGGGAAGGACACAAAGTGAACACAAATGAGAGAGCGAGCTGGCACAATAACAGGAAAGCATCATCTGCTCGTCTCTTCATCTCGTTGCCATGGGGAACTTTATGTAAACTGTTACTTTATGTGCTGGGTTTCATAAATTGAGCCACATGAATGTTTATATCAATAATCTGACTAGAATGTAATCAAGATTTGCCGTCAATCACAAAGCAGCAAAATCAAGAATAAGGGTTTAAAGCGTTTTACACTAAAGATAGAAGCTGCGGTTAAAAATGTTCCTGAACAGGTCACAGGGCTACACTTGTAAACAGCTGCCCTGTAACTACAGCTGATAAGAGAACAGAGTTACACGAGCAGCAGAAGAAGTGCCTCCCCGTCTGTCTGCGCACTGTGTGGTAAATGAGGCTAAATGAGTTCTGTGCAGTTACAGGCACCAGAATCTGGAGCAGCCACCCAAACCGAGTGCACACATATAACATGTGCATGAATTCAGCTCACCATCTAAGGGAGAAAGGAGGACAATGTGCTGGTTAAAGATGAAGGGGCTGTGATTTTCAGAGTACTTTTTACTTCAGTTTTAAGTGACGGTTGATGCTGCGGTGTAATCTGCTGCACAGTCTGCTGTTATTTATAAACAACAACCACACATTTTTTGTTCTAGTTTCTTTATTTGGATATTTTGTTGTTGTTTTTTAAATTCACAAGTGTGCTATTGTTTACTAGGTCACAAATTGGTTGTTTTTTTCCCCCCGTTTTTTGTTTTTAAAGTTTTAATAAGACATCGAGGGATTAAAAAAAAAAAAAAGACAATAAATTGCCAAAAATTGCAGTTCCTCCTTCGGCCACTTGAGTCTGTAAATCAGTGTGCTTAGACTCCTGTGTTTTGGTCTCTATAATAATTTTCAGAGCGGTTGTATGGTGGGTGAAAATCTGCATTTCGAAGCATTTCAGTGATATTATATGACAAATATGTGGATTGTTTTGTAGTTAAAACTGGAGCAGACTTGGACAGTCTGTCAGTGCAACTGAGTGAAACTGTACATTTTTTTTTCTACACACTAATTAGCAGTTCATCTGTGTCTGTGTGATATATCCATGCAGTACCCTGCTAACCAAGCTGGCTGCTTTTGGCTGACTTATCTTGAAACTCCCCCGTCTCATCCACATATGAACGCTTCACAAAAGCATGGCTGACGTCTCGATGGCTACATCCACCCCCCCTGCACAGTCTATGATATTTGTCAATGTGATAAAGTGCTGAGTTTCATCTCTCCAACCTGAGATTCCATCTTCACTGTGGTAACTAGGACCAATTTAGCTGAGCTGCCATTAGCCATTTGCTGATTTGTCAGCATTTCTAACAGCCAATAAAAAACAATTTAGAAGACGAAGAGACGGGACAAACACCCTTCAGCACCAGACAACAAACAGTGAAACCAAGCAGAGCTGGACAGGGTGTAAACATGTACAGAAAAAACTACACATGACACATTTTAGGGGAAATCTGTTTGTTTCGTGTGTCTGAAAGAAGAAAAAAAAAAATCATTACATCGGTTGAGCTGTAGCAGTAACCACAGTATTGAAGCATTTAAATCTGTGTGAAACTGTAGTGACGCGACTGAGTTGTTGCGGTCTGTGCACACGTCAAACAACAGAAGACATCTGGCCTGTGTTCTTTGCGCTCTCTTATGCTTAATCAATGCTTGAATCAATATTGTTGCTGAAAAAAATGAAACAGACTAATGTTTAGGTTGCTTTGTTTCCCCTACCCATCACATTATTACCAACATTTAGGTCCTTTAGTGAGCTACGAAGAATGCGGTCATAATTGTAAGTCTAATAATCCATTAATATAAAAGCATATACATAAATGCTACTAAGTTTGACTACGCAATGTTGTCATTTAGACTTTTACACGATAGTAAGGAGGGTAAATATTTAAACATGAAGCCGATATGTTTAAAGAGGTTTCAGCCTCTTGAAAAACACTTTGTGCCGTGAAAGCAGGTCAACGCACTGATAATGCCATGAAAATCATTGCACTTACGCCACAAAGGCTGGCTAGGCGGTCGAAGAGATGCTTCAGATCCAGAAGAGGAAAGAGGCTGCTGCGGGCTATAGAGAGAAATCTGGCTCTGAGAGGCAAACAAGCCAGAGAGCGCTGGAGCAGAGAGAAAAGAAAACACATTAGGATCAGTTTACAAATGTAATTGAAGCTCATTATGCTTCTGAGAAATACTGCTCTCTTCTGCTTTTGGATTCAGAAAGTGATGTTTTGTTGCTAGACATTTAACTGCCGACTCTCAGGCTTTATTTAAATGTCTTTATATGAATTAACAGATTAAAAACCAGTGAACTGTGGCCATTTATATTCATGCTCAAGATCTGACGATCAGATTCTATAAAACAAAAATTACACTGAAGCTTTCACACCTTTCATGGTTTTGGCCTGGACCTCACTGTTGCTCTCACACACCGAGTTGAGAAACTCGTCCACCTGCTTCAGGGAAAGTGAGTTGTGCAGCGTCTCCAGCGGGTAGATGGAAGGCACCATGGAGCATCCTTCAAAGCCTGCAGGACAAAGGGTACAATACAGCCGATCGTGTACTAGCAGGAAGAGCGGTGAGGAAAGTACTGCTCTCTGTGCATTACGGTTCCACGTGATTTGAGTGCCATAGAAAAAAAACAAAAAATCTAGCAGTGATTTATATTTGTTACCAGTCACACACAAGATCTACAGTCGGCAGCGTGTGACCTCTCACAGCAGCTGACTGGCTGTAGCTACACAACACAAGCAAGCCAGATATAATGCAAACACAAATAACCAATTCCTGAGTTAGTGAGACCACAAGAACAAAAATAATATTTTTGTCTTGTTTCTAACATGGTTACAGAGCACTCTGCTTAAAATGACAAGAAAACACACTCGTTACATGTTGCTGCTGATACATGAAGTGATTATAGTAGAGCTCACTTGTGTGTTAACAGGATATGATATGCTTGTTGATTTAAAGATAAGAAGAAATACAGTTCTGTGTTTGTATATGTAATAAGTAGGTGAGGACTACAGAGATTCGAGTGTTTAAGATGTGAGTACTCAACTTCATTTCTAAGTTGATGCTGTAAATGGTATTTCCTTCAGGTGAAGTGTGTGATATAAAGCAAAAATTAATATTAGCTACAGATGAGGTTCTGAAACCACAAAGAAGAAAATGAAATTCTGGGGAGATGTGGCATAACATTATGAGCATTGCCAGGTGGAGTGAAAAACACTGATGGCACCTGTTAGGGGGTGGGATATATGAGAGAGCGAAGTGAACCTTTTGCCCTCAAAGTTGATGTTGCAAGCAGGAAAAAATGACAAGTGTAAGGATTGGAGTGAGTTTGGTGCTTGTCAGAGCATCTGCAAAACTGCAGCTATTGTGGGGCGGTCCTGATCTGCAGTGCTCGGTACAGTGGTGAATAAGTGACAGTGTCATGGGAAGCTAAGACTCACTCACGCATGTGAGGAGTAAAGGCTGGCCTGTGTGGTCTCATCCAACGGACGAGTAAGTGCAGCTCAGACTGCTGAAAAAAGTTCATGCTGGTTCAGATGTAAAGGTGTACACAGAGCATCACAGTTTGTTGTGTATGTGGCTGCATAGCAGCAGAGCAGTCAGTGTGTCCATGCTGACCTCGTTGACTGCTGAAAGCACCAACGAAGGGCATCAGAACTGGCCCACGGAGGAATGGAAGAAGGTCTGATCTGATGAATTGTGTTTTCTTTTACATCACGTGGATGGTCAGGTGCATGTGAGGCATTTACCTGGGGAACACCTGGCAAGCCAGCTGAGGCAGTGTGATGCTTCGGATAATATTCTGGTGGGAAACCTTGGGTCCTGCCATTGATGTGGATGTTACTTTGACACGTACCACCTACCCAAGCAATATTGCAGACCATGTACACCCTTTCATTGAACAGTATTACCCGCTGGCTGTGGCCTCTTTAGCAGGATAATATGCCCTGCCACAAAAAAAAAAAAACCAAAAAACAAACTACATCCTGTGAAATACAACTTTTAAACACAAAAGTGCAATGGCAAGAAGGTGACTTTCACACATGCAGGAAACAGTCCACCAGCATTCACAGTAGCCCAACAGAGAACATGAAGCTCTATGATGACAGTAAGGAATGGATGGAGGTTGAAGTGCTGCTTCCCCCTTTATCCATCTACCCAGACAGCATGCTGGTCATCCTTGCCTTCACCATGAATAATGTGCAACAACCACGAATGTGTGCACGGCTATTACCTAAAACAACTTATTCAATTCAAGCGGAACGAAATGCTTAATGGAGAGGAACCTTTCAAGGCCTCAAGGGGCCAAGATATTAATTTATAATTAGTTGAGTTGCTTGTTGTTAATGTTTCTCATGGGATTGTGTGCACTTTCAAGAGTTAAGAACATTATACAACCTGTTGCTTCTGCTTTTTAATCTAAAGCCTAGAAGAAGAACAGGAATGTCAGGATACGACAAAGGCCTTCAGGCCTTCCATGGACTAATCAAAAAATCTTTTCCTTACCCGATACAGCCTTGAGCAGCTTTATTCATTTGACAAAACAAAGACTAATATGGAATCTGAAAACAGCTTCCTGCCAAAGATGTGATGACAGCAGAAAAATTATTCTACCGTTTAAAGTGATATTACAAAGTCTCAGGAGGAAATGTTTTGCCAGTTCAGACAAGTTCCATGCTCCAGTATTTCTCCTTCTGTCTTTAGTGTACTGTGTAATAGAGCAGGCGTTATATAAAAACACATTAGTTGGCTTTTATCACCTTTCCCTCCTCATCGCTGCTGCAGTGCGTTCACATGGACTTTACAATTCAGCTCACACAGTAGATGCAGTGAGAGGAGAAAAAAAAGCCCACTGATCCTTCACTGCACTATTCACTCTCCACAAAGGCAGACATAAACATACGAGGCAGGGAATGAATGCAGATAACGATGGCACAAGTCATAACAGACGGTCATCTCTGCTGAGTGCATGCAAGCTGTGTTAAGCTGACAATGTACCAGGACCTGCTCCATAAACACTTGACGCGATCGACAGTTAACGGACAGGCCGCCACTTAATTAGCCAATTAAAATTAGCCAATAGATGATGACCCAGATCTTACAGACAGATACTGAAATATCTTCAACCCAGCCAAGAGATATTTTGTTATTTTGAGGAAGACACAGTGAAGGTTCAGTTGTTACTTCCCAGTGCAAAGGCCAAATTAGCGCCATCAATATCCGACACGTATTTCCACACAGACCTCATTCCTGAACAAAAGCCCGGCTGTAAAGGCTTCTTTTTCCTGCACCCACTGCTCAGGATGGAACATGCACACAATGCAATTAGGCAGGCCTCTAACCATCGCATAAAAGAGTCTGGTTTACCAGACTGAACCGCATGCATGTAGATCCATTAGTCGTCCTTTTTGCAGAGGTATTTTTTGTTATAATTTTAGATTATGGTTAAAAATGAATTGCTATGTTCTACCAATTCCACAAGTGAGCTTTAAATGTCCAATCATATGCAAAGACTTAAAGACACAGTGAAATTAAAGATAACACTCAAAGTGTCTTATCAGGTCCTAATTGTTTGGTTACTTATTGGTCCTTTCAAAATAAATAAATAAAATATATACGCATCCCATTTCATATCGATTGAACCTTTTTCTCACTTCTTGTCATAGTATTCTCCCCTTTTTGGACGCAGAAAGAATGAAACTACAATAATGCTAACAGTCTCTACAGCTCCTTAGTCCATGAGCATTTCTCAGTGCTCACATCAAATCAGAACCATCTTATAAAGATGTGAGAACTCAAATGTCCCTTGAACTGAGTCACATAAACGCATCTTAATCTGCCAGATGCCTGGTACAAAGCTGTGTGATGTGGGATTATAATGATGTGAAAACTGAGCAGCTAACAGCGTGGAGAATTAAGAGGGACGCCATCCGTGTATTCCCAGCAGTGTGGATGCAGCTCGTCCATTTCCTTCTGTGTCATTCATAAGAAAGGACAACATTCTGGTTTAGTTGGAAATTATAGTTGTTTTTACAGATGAACCCGAGATAGTGTTACAAGATTCAGGTCAGAAAGTTGTCCTTCCTCACGCCTCTCAAACTTCAGGCCTAATTATTCTCCTAAGAATACTCCGTCTGGGTGAAGCATTCAGGACACATGCCTCAGCCTTGCTTGACTGGAATTATCTGGGCAATTACCTCCACTAATGTCACGAGTGGACATTACATGGACATTCAGCTGGGAAGCTGGAAACTTAATGACCTTTAGATGTCCATTAGATTTTTTCCCCCCTCCTGTTCACCTCTGTCAGGTGACACCTAAAAAATGTTGAGAGCCGCAGTGCTCGAGTGAAAGCTAAGTTGCTTTTATAGTTTCACTGTGTCTTTAAATAAGCAGAGGAATACAGCATTTGCATATTTGGGCAGATGTGCAAAATGAGAATGTTTATAGTCGGACAATAAATGGAGCATGAGGCAGGGCTATAGATATCATTAACAGGCAGACCTAGGAGGGAAAATGAACGCACAGGCTGCAAGAAAAATAAAAGCAATGAGCCACAACAGATGCTAAGAACTGGCACTGGCAGTATCCCACTTTTCCCAGCACCGACTGGCTAGGACGAGGAAGAGGAGGCAGCACCAAGTATTTTCAGGGACTGCAGTGGCTGACCGTAGTGAGACTCTGGGAGCTCCTGACTAGACACCAGCTCAGTCTTGAAGAGGCGGAAGTGGTAGGGGCAGTGACGCAGGTGGTGGGCCATGGCCCCATCCACAGCCAGAGGGGCAAACCCCAGCAGGGCTGTCTCAGCAGGCAGCCACTCCAGCAGCTGGGTTACGTTAGGCACGTCCGAGGGCTCTAAGGGGATGAGAGGCAGAGCAGGGAGAGAAGAGTAGAACTGGAAAGTGCAGCGGAGCGGGAGCAGAAACGGGAGGAGCTGAAAAGCAGTGCGGCCGGAGGGCATTCGATTGATTGTAGGCTGCGCCGGACAAAAACCTCACAGCTCAAACAGAAAAAAAACAGACTCAGTCCCACCTTTCCATTTCAAAGAAATCAAATCCAAAGCAGATAGCCTGAGGTCAAATAGAGACGTCGGGGGGGAAACGAATGACTAAAAACACACCTGAGATCTGCTCCACGTAATCTGAATGAGAGGCTTTTTCAGTCAATCAGTGCTCAAACATCAGTGACCCCCAGGGTATTTTTCAAGAAACTGTATGTGTGAGAACAGAACTGCAATGTGACAAGAGAAGTCGTATTTTAGATTTGTAGCATGAAGGCGTGACTTTCTGACAGATTTCTATCACTAGCTCTTCAAATTGGGCAACTGCCCCAGGGCTCAGAACACTCGGGGGAGGGGGGGG